ATTTGATTGGTCGGAAGGGAAGGGCCGGCGGGCTTTCCTTCCGACCAATCAAATCGTTGGAAGGGAAGGCCGTTGGTCTTTCCTTTATGTCCCTGACACAGCAGACTGAGGGTGTAGTATAGAGTGAGTGTAGCATGCAATACTGTGTTTCACCACATGGGGGCGCTGTTTCAGTCTTTGTAAAACACTCACTGACAACAGCGGAGATGTTTTTTGATACAAATAAAAAAATATAAAGAAATACCCAGCCTCAGGAGAACGCCACTGGAGGCTGAGCAGAACCTCCCCTGTGCTTCTCTAGAAGTTGTCTTTATGGGTGAAGTTAATTAACTTACAATTACCATACTGCTTATAACTTATATAAGGTGTGTATTAATGGGTTTACCTAGAAGATGATAGATGATGGCATTTAATTGAATCTGGCATAATATGATTAGTCAACATCAGGATGAATTTGTCTTTTTCTTATAATTACAGGAAGCGGGAATGAGCAGCAGGAATGTGTTAAAGTCCTAGCAATTTTATTTAAGAATGGAAAGGAAATTAAAAGAAGAATCTACAGTGTCCATAGCACAAACCATCTCCTGGAAGTAACAGGTGCATTTGTCCTTGATAGGATTTAAAAATACAACACAGACTTCCAAGAGTTTATAGATATTGATAGAAGTGAGAACATAAGTAACTTTGACAGATTCCAAGTGCACTTTTCAGAAGCACCAGATCTTCAGCCTGTCCTAAGAGAAGTCTGTCAAACTCAGGTATACATTCACCATTCTTGTTAAATTGTGTTTCAAAAAATCCCACAGGCCAGAACTTGACTTTGTGCGGTGCTTGCTCTTATTGTTTTGTTCAGCCTTGGAACAGCACTTAATGTGGCGGACCCTCCGCGCGAACTTGCAAACGGAGGGGTAGGGTGTAGGGGGCGGTTTGGGATTGGGCCGAGATGTCCTTCAACATGGCGCGCTGAAATCCATTTCCGGGTCACTACCGGAGGACCGAGGAGGGGAAATTAGTGAAATGAGAAAGGGCCTCAGGGTCCTTCTCACTTCGGTTAAATGGATTCCTTGCGACTAGTCCCTCCCACAAGGGAAGCATGGAGAGACGCAAGGAAACCACGAGAAGCAGGGAAATGAGCAATGGGACGTCCTTTCCTCCGGAGCGTCACGTGAAGTGACGCCGCACAGCTGATCGTCTGACAGCAGCTCTGTCCCCGTTGTGTTCACAAACACCCCCGCCTGTTAGTACACATTTACTGACACAAACATTTGTATCATCTGTTGTAGAGTGCACAATAGAAATACAAGAATTCAGAGAAGAAAAAGAGATATGTTATCTATCAAAACCCAGTTAGATTAACATTCATTGGATTTCACACTTTGTTTGTTTGTGTGGATATGTAGCACATTAACATTGTAATAGCACTTAATGACTGACTGAATGGAAATGACTATAAATGAAAATGTAAAACGAAAAAAGCGATCATGAAAATGTTTTCCAAAAAATGAATAAAATGATTTTTGACCACTTTGTTGTTCAGATATATCACATATTTGTAACTAAATGAAACATGAATTGAAACAAAACACGGTATAAACTGAGGAGTGACTCTCGTGAGGTTCATGTATTTTCTTTAGGGCTGTCAAGTTAATGCGTTAATAACGCGTTAACGCAAAAAAAAATTAACGCCACTAATTATTTTAACGCGATTAACGCATGTGTATTTTTTGTCCTCGGCCGCCCCGTAGTTTCAGAGCGCATCGAGTTTAAAATACCATCTACAAGCTGATGCTGACAGCCCCGCTCCTGCTGCCCGCTTGCTGCAGACCACACTTCCACGCTCACCGGCAGGCACCGACTGGCTGTTGGGAGGACCGGGAGGGTGTGTGTATGTGTGGCCCGAGCGAGCGAGAGAGAGACCTTACGTGCATTGTTGTTGTTAGCATCTGGTGCTAGCTAGCTGCGCTAACGGATATAAGGAGCTGCTTAAATGAAAACAGAGGAGCGACATTTCGCCACAACTGCGCCGAGCACTTGACTTTATGCAGGCAGCCAGACAGTGGGGCATTGTACGAGAAGTCAGCACACTCAGCACGGATAGTGCGCAACATGATTGCAGCGTCCAGGCAGCTCCCGTTCGAGCATATGCCTTGAGTTGCACATAGCTCCAACGATCCATCTCACACACACACACACACACAATTTTTATTGTATTAGGTTCCAGGTTGAATTGAGGCGAATATTTGTAATGTTCAGAAGTTGTTGTGTTTAATATTTGTCATTGTTCAAATGATAATAAACATTAGCATAAAGCACATTTGTCCACTCATATGTTAAGAGTATTAAAAACTTGAAAAATATTCCTCTAAGGCAGTGGTTCTCAAAGTGGGGGGCGCAGAGGCATGCCAGGGGGGGCGCGAGAGACCAGGAGGAAAAATGGTTATTTAAAAAAAAAAAAGCTAAAAAAAAAAATCATAATTTGAAAAATTATTGATTCGAAAATAATATGATGCAGTACAGTACTATTACGTCTGGGTCTCTGTGTTTCATTAAAGCTCGACTCATTTTGTGTGCGCGAGAGAGAGAGAGAGAGAGCGCACCGGTACTGGAGATCGTTGTTGTTAGCTTCTGGTGCTAGCGAGCTACGCTAACGGATATAAGGAGTTTTTTCAACAACAAAGTGCAGGAGAGTCCTCTACTGTCAGACTGAGAGACTCAGTGAGCTAAAGGACTCTCTCAGCGTTATCTCAGTGGGTCTCAAATGTTTTGGTCACCATTAATGTAAACAATTATTTCCGAGGCACACGTTTATATGATCATTATAGTTATACAAAAATAAGAGAATAAATGAAAAACAGGTATGAAATACTATATGACAGTAAAAAAAGAATAACGTTTAAAAGGGTGATTTGTAAAATATCCATAAATAAAAAGTAAATCTGTTAACAGGTCTGTTTCAAATGGGTGTTGAGAGATGTATCCATAGATCTCTTCATGTTGCTCTCAAAGAGCACCAGATTGATGCTTTTAACTTCAATATTTAAAAATAAATCTTCCCGGGCGAGCTTGCCCCCAGACCCCCCTATGTGAAGTCCACACACCACCTATAAAAATAGCACTTTACCCCTGCTTACACCTATATGCCGTGAGCTGATTATCGAGCCTTCATTGTAACAGTCGCGGGTACACTGTGTATTTGCGTGGGGAGTGTTGCAGTAGAAAATTCCACTGTAGCGCCCGGTACATTAAACCCTACATGTTTGAGCTACCCCACAGCACCCCCAAAATAAATCTCTGGCGCCGCCACTGAGCCTGACTATTTGTGTTGGGGGGGCCCGACTTTTTTTTTTCTCCAAAGGGGGGGCCTGACAGAAAAAGTTTGAGAACCACTGCTCTAAGGTACATTTAGAACAGATGTGAAAATGTGCGATTCATTTGCGATTAATCGCGATTAACTATTTTAATCGACTGACAGCCCTAGTTTTCTTCACTCCGCTGGGAAACTGCTCTCATGTCAAGAAGCATCAGATCAGTGCATGCGTCCAATCAGTGAGCGATACACAGTAAGGGGGCGGGGCGAGTGTCTGAGGATTACATCGAAGGATGGTCTGGTGGTTCCTCGATTATAGCTCCTCCATTATCGCTCCTCGCTCCTCTGGCAAAAATAAGGCCATTGGGACGCTACTCAAGATGGCGCAGACAAATCAACTTCCGGTGAGTCTGAGGAGCGAGGAAATGAAAAATAAGAGAAGTGAGAAGGGCCCTCAGACGTTTTTACTGAACTGAGTGTGATGGAGACAACAGATCAATGTGACCTTAGAGAACAATGCTGTGAGAATCTACCTGCATAATACTGATAGATACATTAGATTACTTTTTATTATTTATCACCTGTATTTATGTAGATGACACTTCTCAGGAAAAAGGGGTTTTATTAAATTTATTATCTTAGTTTTTTTTTTTTTTTAATAACTTTTACTGTGTCTATGTAGGAGGCAAACATCTCAGGAAGGTGGGGTTTCTGTGTATTATTTTTACCTTTTTAAAAAAAAATCCCGTTTGCTGTGTTTATGACAAACATACAGGAAGTTTATGATTTTATTTGACTTTTTTCGGATATAGAAGTTGCACATGAGCTCCCATTATAAATATGTTCAGAAAAGTGATTAACCTAAACAGTCAGAAATGTTACGGTTTAAACTCTTAACCACATTTTAAAATCCTGCTTTTTGTTATAAACGCAGTTCTCCTGTCATCCACAAGGGGGCAGAGCTGCTGTATAATGTGAAGATGGAAATAAAAACAATTGATTATTCTTATGCAGAAGATGACATGTTATCTATCTAAACAAATAGGGTTTTATCATTTGAATCGTTATACAGTCAAAGAACATCTCTGTATGTCTTTCATTTCTATGAAGAAAATAATTGTAATTTATTTAATGTTCACAATATTATTTAAGATAAGAAAACACTTGGTGCAGATGTTTCTCCATCTGCATGCTTTGGTACATTTGTATTTGGCTCGTTTCTCCAAACACTGACTTTTTTTCAAAATATTCAAACTTTCAGAAAATCTAAATTTTCACTTATTGATGAAAAACCTAGATTTCAGATTTTCTTCAAAAAAAAATTCTGTAAAATCTCAACAATCTGACTTTTTCATCAAATTCTGCCTTTTTCTAAAAATCTCAAAAATCTGTATATTCTCTCAAACTTTTACTTTTTTCACAAAATACTGACTCAAAATTCTGTCTTGTCACAAAATTCGGACTTCTCAAGATCTTAACATTTTGACTTTAAAAAAAGTACATTTGAAAAAGGTTAAAACTGAGGATTGGTAAAACCTTTCATCAGGACTGAAGTTGCTTCACACAGTAAACATAATGTATCATTTCTACAGAGACACTATTGGAATACGTTTATTTTTTTAATGGCAGTGGATGACCCGCTTTATTTTACAGAAACATTTCTACACCATGAACAAAAGGAGACGAGACAAAGTGTCAATAAAAACCTTTATTATTTTCTTTTTGTCGTTGGGTTTTCCTCAAGTTTATCTTGCCCTTTTTGACCCCTCCTGACCTAACCCCCACACATTCCTCTACTGAGTCCTCCAGACACGAACAACCTCTACGATCAAAATAACCAACACAAACCAGAAGAGGAAGCTACTGACTAGAAATAAACTACACACACATGGAGTGTTGACAAACCCAGGGCTTTGAGAGCAAGCGTGAATCTTCAGAATCCAAAAGCACCGGTGAGGAGTCGTGTATTTACATAGCTGCCGATTTCTGAGTTTTTTTCGACGCTTTCTACACGACACTGTGGGGAAACTACGTGAATCATTGGGGTCATTACAAGCTCATACATTCAAGCTATACATATATATATAACTATGTACACAAAGTATAAATAAAACCACCAAATGAGAACCCAGAGATTATAGTTTTATACATATTCAACACCAAAGAGAAAAAAAACTGTAAAAAGGGAGACGCAGTCATCCTGGTTTCATCTAACGCTACTGATTAGGGGGATCCAATCAAGCAAGTGCTCAGTTTGGAGTAGTTGTTTAAAGCGCTCCGCTGTGGGGGTAAAGACACACTCAAGTAGAGACGGGACTTATTGTACAAAGCCCGCCCGCCCGCCAACCCACCCACCCGCCCTCATCCCAACACACTTCATAATTCACGCTTGCTCTTAAAGGATTTACTGCCAGTTACAACACCCTTTGCTCAAATCTGTATTCCTTAATTACCGTTACTGTACATTACTCTCCACGCTTTGAGCAGAGAGAAGTCGACAGTTATTTTGATCATAGAGGCGACACAGGTCATTAATAAAAAATAAAAATAAACTACAAGCAGCAGGAGGAGGAGGGACCAAAGATTTAAAGGGCCAGTACCTTTTTGAAATGGTCGACTCTAAACTGGAGTGTCGTTAACGGGAGTGAAGCGGGGGGGGGGGGGGGGGGGGGGGGGGGGGGTGGGGGCATAATTGAAGCTTACAGGGGGAATAATAACTGCGACTTTAGATGTTTGATAATATCCCATAATTCCCTTTGACTGTCACCGCCTGGTCGTAGGAACACAGCTGCGGTTTATAGCGAGTCTACTGCGGGTTACACGTGTTTTTAAATGGCCCTTCTTTAGAGGATTAAAAAGCGTACTGTCTCTTTAAATCCCTGGATGTTTCCTCCGCCCCTGCAGCCCTGACTTTAAGCCCCGCCCCCCCACACCTGTGCTCAGGTGTTCAGCCTGACTTGGCCCCCACCAGAGCCATCAGTCCGTCCGTGCTCATGGACTTGGGGCGCTCCAGAGGGAAGCCCAGCGCCCGGCTCCACACCAGCTGAGCGAGGACACCGAGAGCCCGGGACACTCCGAACAGAACCGTGTAGTAGTTCATCTCAGACATCCCATAATACTGCAGAGAGGAGGGGGGGAGGGGAGGTTAGGGTCAGATATGCAAACAGATAACATTAAGAGAGATACCTGAGGAATTCAACTTTATCTCATCACAATATGGACGAGTGAAAAATCGAAAGCACAGTATTTGTTATTAAAAAGGTTAATTATAATTAAAGGTGGGTAATGTTGGAGAAAGCAGCTCGAGTGCGCTAGAATTTGAAAATACACAACCGGAAACAATCTCCCACTTCCTCACAGAGCCCCTCCTCCAACACACAGGAACGCGCACATGACCAATGAGGGCACGAGGTCAGTTTGTGCCCAGATGGAAGGCTGACAGGCAGGTAGGCCATCCAGCCACGGCTTCCATTGTGACATTTTTTTATGGATTTGTTGTCAAAGCACTTCAGATATTCATTGCTATCGGGATGTTAAGAGCATTCCATGGAATATAACAAGTGTCTCTCGAGCCGGTCTCTCAAACTTACCTACCCCGCCTTTAACATTACGTTTAATGGAGCTGAAGAGATATCCCGGGCTACTCATCATATTTTAAAGACTTAAAACATATTGTTCTCAGATATCGGCAAATAAAATGCCGATGGGAGTCACAGAAGTTTAGATGTGATTTATGATGGATCCAATCAGTCATTTTGAAGGAGTAGAGCACCGTCTGACGGCGCTGTGTTCAAAGTGACTCAAGCAGCTGCTGCAGTGAAGAGTGCTTTCACGATAGCTGTAGCTTCTAAAGTCTGAAGTGTTGCTGCTGATTGAGTTTGCAGAGTGTCAGCGGTAGAAAGATGTTTTACAAATCCCTTCAGTCCGAGTCAAATCCACATTCACTCATTTTGTGAATCTGCATTGTTCATATTTAACCGTTCGGGCACAATGCCGCAGTGTTTTGATTGTCCTCACCTGCAGCAGCACCCTGAGATAATGAACATGAAACCCGTCTCACCTGCAGCAGCACCCTGAGATAATGAACATGAAACCCGTCTCACCTGCAGCAGCACCCTGAGATAATGAACATGAAACCCGTCTCACCTGCAGCAGCACCCCGCTGTGGGCGTCCACGTTGGGCCAGGGGTTCTTGGCCTTGCCCTGCTCCAGCAGCACGTTGGGCACGATCTTGTAGAGCTGAGCCACCATCTTGAACAGCGGGTCGTTGGGCAGGTGCTTCAGAGCAAACTCCCGCTGGCAGGTGTAGCGGGGGTCCGTCTTCCTCAGGACGGCGTGGCCGTAACCGGGGACAACCTGCAGAGAGAGAGAGAGGGGGGACACATTTAGGGAGAACATATTAAATACTTCCTGCTTCTACTTCTTTGTTAAAAACGGAGCAACAGATTATTAAAAATACATTTTCTCAACTCAACTGTGAATTTTGGCATCCCATGTTTATTACCAGTTATTACTCATAATGAAATAAGAAAAGACACAAGCTCTGCATACAGTAATCATTATTATCATCAATAAAACAAATAGATATCTCAATATGCTATATGCCTTGGGAAGTATCTAGATACCTGCCCTCATGCCAAAGGAACCGCACACTGAATATGTTTTGATGTGTGTCTGGACCGCTGCGTAACAAGGAGGGTTTCTGCCCCGTTACTTCTGCGCTGCTTTCTTGTCCCAGTTCCAAACTGTAGTTCAATCGAGCGGACTTCTTCAACAGATGTGAGCGTCCTTAACAACGGTCAATAAGTGCTTGACAGCGGTCTGTACTATTGGATTAACAACGTGTCACGTGTTCCGAATCGACCAATCAGAATCGAGTATTCAACTAAGCCGTGTAATAATGCCACTCAATATATCCTTGATTGATACTGTGTTCCTTTAAGTTATTAATATCATTTAGTTATCCCAGAAGCAACTGTTTGCTCAATCACCTAAATACCCCGTGCCCCATTGCGCCATCTAGTGCTCAAAGACAAATGGGCACAACAGGCTGGGTTTGGAGGAGTATTTGGTGCTTATTTACCCGTCCAGACTTGAGTGTGTTCCAGATGTAATCCCTCATCTTCTCGTCAGAGACTTCTCCTCCCAGCTCCTTCTGCAGCGCCGTCAGCCACACCAGCACCTCCTACACACACACACACACACACAGTTATTAACGGGATACAACTGTGAGTACATTCATGCTAAATAATAGGGATGGGAATGATTAATCGAATATTCAAAATGATTCAGGTATCGAATACGAGTTATGAATATTTTGATTTTAATTAGTTTATTGTTTTTAGTGGGAGGGGTGCCTAAATTGAGAGAGGTCAGAAGCCATTATGTTGTTATGTTTTAAGCATGAAAGCTGTAGTCCTATAGCTGTCGACTTGGTTTCTTTATTTATTGAAAACAATGTTATTTTTATTACATTTAAAAATAGATATGTAAATTCAATTAACCGTTTTTTTTGTGGGTCGAATATAAAATTTGCTTTCAAATTCGCATCCCTACTAAATAAGTGCACCATTATGACTTCCATGATTCTATCCGAGCCACTTTTTGGTTCAAATATCAGAGCAGAGAATTCCACACATTCAGTTCTGGGAGTTTTCAGTTTCATGCTTTAAAGAAACCATCACATGTTTAACTATAATCAGTACGGGAGCAAATCAGACGTTAAAGTGAGCCAAACGGGAGCGTCTGTCCGGAAGCTGGATCACGACCAACCAGCTGGAAATAAAATTGATGGCAAGATGTATTAAAGGAAACTTAATCTGAGCTCAATGAGGCCGAGATAATGCAAACAGGAGGAGAGGATTTAACAGCCAGTGAACTCCAAATGAAGCTCCGCAACGCTCCGCAACGCTCCGTTTAAAAACACATTTTGAGGAAAGCAGGTGAGATGAATCACATCAGGATCTTTAAAAGACTCCGTTACAGTTACCCAGCATGTATAAAAGACCCTGAAGACACACCCTTAGTCATTATTTAGTTTTTTACACCAGAGCTTTTCCCATCCCTGCACTATTTCTTAATGTCTTTCATTTCTGTAAAGCACTTTGCATTGCCTTGGTGCTAAGCTTGGTGGTCAGGTGCTGCATAAATAAACTTGCCTTCCTACTTAATCTACTACATCATATTGGGAGACGATGCATCTCCCTTCAGTGGAATGTAATGTGTTGGTGGTACGGACCTGGTTGGCGAGGCCGTGCAGAGGGCCAGCGAGGCCGTTCATGGCGGCGCTGAAGGACAGGTAGGGGTCGGACAGAGCGCTGCCCACCAGGTGGCTGGTGTGAGCGCTGACGTTCCCTCCTTCATGGTCACTGAGAGAGAACAGGGATACATTCAAACCCAGCTATATGCTGTACCTGTGTGTGGTGAGGCAGTGTGTGTACCTGTGTGTGGTGAGGTAGTGTGTGTACCTGTGTGTGGTGAGGTAGTGTGTGTACCTGTGTGTGGTGAGGCAGTGTGTGTACCTGTGTGTGGTGAGGTAGTGTGTGTACCTGTGTGTGGTGAGGCAGTGTGTGTACCTGTGTGTGGTGAGGGCAGTGTGTGTACCTGTGTGTGGTGAGGCAGTGTGTGTACCTGTGTGTGGTGAGGCAGTGTGTGTACCTGTGTGTGGTGAGGCAGTGTGTGTACCTGTGTGTGGTGAGGCAGTGTGTGTACCTGTGTGTGGTGAGGTAGTGTGTGTACCTGTGTGTGGTGAGGCAGTGTGTGTACCTGTGTGTGGTGAGGCAGTGTGTGTACCTATGTGTGGTGAGGCAGTGTGTGTACCTGTGTGTGGTGAGGCAGTGTGTGTACCTATGTATGGTGAGGCAGTGTGTGTACCTGTGTGTGGTGAGGTAGTGTGTGTGTGTACCTATGTGTGGTGAGGCAGTGTGTGTACCTATGTGTGGTGAGGCAGTGTGTGTACCTGTGTGTGGTGAGGTAGTGTGTGTACCTGTGTGTGGTGAGGTAGTGTGTGTACCTATGTGTGGTGAGGCAGTGTGTGTGTGTACCTATGTGTGGTGAGGCAGTGTGTGTACCTATGTGTGGTGAGGCAGTGTGTGTACCTGTGTGTGGTGAGGCAGTGTGTGTACCTGTGTGTGGTGAGGTAGTGTGTGTGTACCTGTGTGTGGTGAGGTAGTGTGTGTACCTGTGTGTGGTGAGGTAGTGTGTGTACCTGTGTATGGTGAGGCAGTGTGTGTACCTGTGTGTGGTGAGGCAGTGTGTGTACCTGTGTGTGGTGAGGTAGTGTGTGTGTGTGTACCTGTGTATGGTGAGGTAGTGTGTGTACCTGTGTATGGTGAGGTAGTGTGTGTACCTGTGTGTGGTGAGGTAGTGTGTGTGTGTGTACCTGTGTATGGTGAGGTAGTGTGTGTACCTGTGTGTGGTGAGGCAGTGTGTGTACCTGTGTGTGGTGAGGCAGTGTGTGTACCTGTGTATGGTGAGGTAGTGTGTGTACCTGTGTGTGGTGAGGTAGTGTGTGTACCTGTGTATGGTGAGGTAGTGTGTGTACCTGTGTATGGTGAGGTAGTGTGTGTACCTGTGTGTGGTGAGGTAGTGTGTGTGTACCTGTGTGTGGTGAGGTAGTGTGTGTACCTGTGTATGGTGAGGTAGTGTGTGTACCTGTGTGTGGTGAGGTAGTGTGTGTACCTGTGTATGGTGAGGTAGTGTGTGTACCTGTGTATGGTGAGGTAGTGTGTGTACCTGTGTATGGTGAGGTAGTGTGTGTGTACCTGTGTGTGGTGAGGTAGTGTGTGTACCTGTGTATGGTGAGGTAGTGTGTGTACCTGTGTGTGGTGAGGCAGTGTGTGTACCTGTGTGTGGTGAGGTAGTGTGTGTACCTGTGTGTGGTGAGGCAGTGTGTGTACCTGTGTGTGGTGAGGCAGTGTGTGTGTACCTGTGTGTGGTGAGGTAGTGTGTGTACCTGTGTGTGGTGAGGTAGTGTGTGTACCTGTGTGTGGTGAGGTAGTGTGTGTACCTGTGTGTGGTGAGGTAGTGTGTGTACCTGTGTGTGGTGAGGTAGTGTGTGCAGTGTGTGTACCTGTGTGTGGTGAGGTAGTGTGTGTACCTGTGTGTGGTGAGGCAGTGTGTGTACCTGTGTGTGGTGAGGTAGTGTGTGCAGTGTGTGTACCTGTGTATGGTGAGGTAGTGTGTGTACCTGTGTGTGGTGAGGTAGTGTGTGTACCTGTGTGTGGTGAGGTAGTGTGTGCAGTGTGTGTACCTGTGTATGGTGAGGTAGTGTGTGTACCTGTGTGTGGTGAGGCAGTGTGTGTACCTGTGTGTGGTGAGGTAGTGTGTGTACCTGTGTGTGGTGAGGTAGTGTGTGTACCTGTGTGTGGTGAGGTAGTGTGTGCAGTGTGTGTACCTGTGTATGGTGAGGTAGTGTGTGTACCTGTGTATGGTGAGGTAGTGTGTGTACCTGTGTATGGTGAGGTAGTGTGTGTACCTGTGTGTGGTGAGGCAGTGTGTGTGTACCTGTGTATGGTGAGGTAGTGTGTGTACCTGTGTGTGGTGAGGCAGTGTGTGTGTACCTGTGTATGGTGAGGTAGTGTGTGTACCTGTGTATGGTGAGGTAGTGTGTGTACCTGTGTGTGGTGAGGCAGTGTGTGTGTACCTGTGTATGGTGAGGTAGTGTGTGTACCTGTGTATGGTGAGGTAGTGTGTGTACCTGTGTATGGTGAGGTAGTGTGTGTACCTGTGTGTGGTGAGGTAGTGTGTGCAGTGTGTGTACCTGTGTATGGTGAGGTAGTGTGTGTACCTGTGTGTGGTGAGGTAGTGTGTGCAGTGTGTGTACCTGTGTATGGTGAGGCAGTGTGTGTACCTGTGTGTGGTGAGGCAGTGTGTGTGTACCTGTGTATGGTGAGGCAGTGTGTGTACCTGTGTGTGGTGAGGTAGTGTGTGTGTACCTGTGTGTGGTGAGGCAGTGTGTGTACCTGTGTGTGGTGAGGTAGTGTGTGTACCTGTGTATGGTGAGGTAGTGTGTGTACCTGTGTGTGGTGAGGTAGTGTGTGTACCTGTGTGTGGTGAGGTAGTGTGTGTACCTGTGTGTGGTGAGGCAGTGTGTGTACCTGTGTGTGGTGAGGTAGTGTGTGTACCTGTGTATGGTGAGGTAGTGTGTGTACCTGTGTGTGGTGAGGTAGTGTGTGTGTGTACCTGTGTGTGGTGAGGTAGTGTGTGTACCTGTGTATGGTGAGGTAGTGTGTGTACCTGTGTGTGGTGAGGCAGTGTGTGTACCTGTGTGTGGTGAGGTAGTGTGTGTACCTGTGTGTGGTGAGGTAGTGTGTGTACCTGTGTGTGGTGAGGCAGTGTGTGTACCTGTGTATGGTGAGGTAGTGTGTGTACCTGTGTGTGGTGAGGCAGTGTGTGTACCTGTGTGTGGTGAGGTAGTGTGTGTGTACCTGTGTGTGGTGAGGTAGTGTGTGTGTACCTGTGTGTGGTGAGGTAGTGTGTGTACCTGTGTGTGGTGAGGCAGTGTGTGTACCTGTGTGTGGTGAGGCAGTGTGTGTGTGTACCTATGTGTGGTGAGGCAGTGTGTGTACCTGTGTATGGTGAGGCAGTGTGTGTACCTGTGTGTGGTGAGGTAGTGTGTGTGTACCTGTGTATGGTGAGGCAGTGTGTGTACCTGTGTGTGGTGAGGTAGTGTGTGTACCTGTGTATGGTGAGGTAGTGTGTGTACCTGTGTATGGTGAGGTAGTGTGTGTACCTGTGTGTGGTGAGGCAGTGTGTGTACCTGTGTGTGGTGAGGTAGTGTGTGTACCTGTGTATGGTGAGGTAGTGTGTGTACCTGTGTGTGGTGAGGCAGTGTGTGTACCTCTGTGTGGTGAGGTAGTGTGTGTACCTATGTGTGGTGAGGCAGTGTGTGTACCTGTGTATGGTGAGGCAGTGTGTGTACCTGTGTGTGGTGAGGTAGTGTGTGTGTACCTGTGTATGGTGAGGCAGTGTGTGTACCTGTGTGTGGTGAGGTAGTGTGTGTACCTGTGTATGGTGAGGTAGTGTGTGTACCTGTGTATGGTGAGGTAGTGTGTGTACCTGTGTGTGGTGAGGTAGTGTGTGTACCTGTGTATGGTGAGGTAGTGTGTGTACCTGTGTATGGTGAGGTAGTGTGTGTACCTGTGTGTGGTGAGGTAGTGTGTGTACCTGTGTATGGTGAGGTAGTGTGTGTACCTGTGTATGGTGAGGTAGTGTGTGTACCTGTGTATGGTGAGGTAGTGTGTGTACCTGTGTGTGGTGAGGTAGTGTGTGTGTACCTGTGTGTGGTGAGGCAGTGTGTGTACCTGTGTATGGTGAGGTAGTGTGTGTGTACCTGTGTATGGTGAGGTAGTGTGTGTACCTGTGTATGGTGAGGTAGTGTGTGTACCTGTGTATGGTGAGGTAGTGTGTGTACCTGTGTATGGTGAGGTAGTGTGTGTACCTGTGTATGGTGAGGTAGTGTGTGTACCTGTGTATGGTGAGGTAGTGTGTGTGTACCTGTGTATGGTGAGGTAGTGTGTGTACCTGTGTGTGGTGAGGTAGTGTGTGTACCTGTGTGTGGTGAGGTAGTGTGTGTACCTGTGTGTGGTGAGGTAGTGTGTGTACCTGTGTGTGGTGAGGTAGTGTGTGTACCTGTGTATGGTGAGGTAGTGTGTGTACCTGTGTATGGTGAGGTAGTGTGTGTACCTGTGTATGGTGAGGTAGTGTGTGTACCTGTGTGTGGTGAGGCAGTGTGTGTACCTGTGTGTGGTGAGGCAGTGTGTGTACCTGTGTATGGTGAGGTAGTGTGTGTACCTGTGTATGGTGAGGCAGTGTGTGTACCTGTGTGTGGTGAGGCAGTGTGTGTACCTGTGTGTGGTGAGGTAGTGTGTGTACCTGTGGTGTGGTGAGGGAGGGAGTGTGTGTACCTGTGTGTATGGTGAGGTAGTGTGTGTGCAGTGTGTGTACCTGTGTATGGTGAGGTAGTGTGTGTGTGTACCTGTGTATGGTGAGGTAGTGTGTGTGTGTACCTGTGTATGGTGAGGTAGTGTGTGTGTACCTGTGTATGGTGAGGTAGTGTGTGTGTGTGTGTGTACCTGTGTATGGTGAGGTAGTGTGTGTGTACCTGTGTATGGTGAGGTAGTGTGTGTGTGTACCTGTGTATGGTGAGGTAGTGTGTGTGTACCTGTGTATGGTGAGGTAGTGTGTGTGTACTGTGTGTATGGTGAGGTTGTGTGTGTGTACCTGTGTATGGTGAGGTAGTTAATGGTGAGGTGTGTGTTTACCTGTGTGTGGGTGAGGTAGTGTGTGTGTACCTGTGTATGGTGAGGTAGTGTGTGTGTACCTGTGTATGGTGAGGTAGTGTGTGTGTACCTGTGTATGGCGAGGTAGTGTGTGTGTACCTGTGTATGGTGAGGTAGTGTGTGTGTACCTGTGTATGGTGAGGTAGTGTGTGTGTACCTGTGTATGGTGAGGTAGTGTGTGTGTACCTGTGTATGGTGAGGTAGTGTGTGTGTACCTGTGTATGGTGAGGTAGTGTGTGTGTACCTGTGTATGGCGAGGTAGTGTGTGTGTACCTGTGTATGGTGAGGTAGTGTGTGTGTACCTGTGTATGGTGAGGTAGTGTGTGTGTACCTGTGTATGGTGAGGTAGTGTGTGTACCTGTGTATGGTGAGGTAGTGTGTGTACCTGTGTATGGTGAGGTAGTGTGTGTGTGTGTGTGTGTGTGTGTGTGTGTGTGTGTGTGTGTGTACCTGTGTATGGTGAGGTAGTGTGTGTGTACCTGTGTATGGTGAGGTAGTGTGTGTGTGTGTGTGTGTGTGTGTGTGTACCTGTGTATGGTGAGGTAGAGCCTCATGAGCTCAGTGAACTGGGAGTCGTTGTATCCCAGCATGTTGCTGAAGTTGTGGGACCAGTCCAGGTTGGAGTCGATGGCTCCGATGCTGCTGCCCTCACGGTAAAGGTTACGGTAGATCTTGGCAGCGATGCAGGGCAGCTTCGCAATCAGATCCATGGAGTCCTCATACACAAACTGAGGGGAGCAGCACAAGGGGTTCAAGGAATTAAAGAGCAATGCATCTGATAGTCGAGACACAAGGTTTCCTTTCAGTGCCAAGACCCCAGACTAATGGCGCATTTCCACCACAGCGCGGAGCTCGCTTTAAGCGTGCCCGGACCGTTTTTGGTTGCGTTTCCACTCGGCGTAGTTCCGACTAGCGGGTACTATTTCAGGTTTTCTGGCTCTCCAAAATCGAGGTTCTTTCCGGGCCAACAACCAGGCTGAGTCGGGCTGAGTATGCTAAACTAGAGAGAATCGCTGGCTAGGGGGCTACAACTACAACAAGATGAACATATTTGACCGTGATTTAATTGTAATACACGTTTCTAAATGATGCCGAAGTAACAACATACTGATACCGGTTAGTAAAAACCATGAATTAATGCTTTGACAAGTCTACAGACAGACGGCAGGCGAAACACATTTTAAAATGTGTGTTTTCTGAATGGAGCTTGGCTAAGCTAACGTTATATATGCTCCGACCGTCCACACTCACAACAACGGCCTATACAGACATAAATAAACCAGCGACTGTATTCGCCATGACACAGGCAGTCTGTGGTTTGTACTTGTTTAACTTCTGTCTAGTTTCTGAACAGATATGAGGAGCTGTGAGCTCTGAGGGCTAAGAGCTAACGGCTGATGTTGGTTTTGTGGTTCGCATTGAAGATGACGTCACGGCTCCGCCTACACTGCGTTACTATAGTTACTGCCCCAGCTACTAAACTGTAATGGAGACGCAGCATAAAGTGAGCCAGTCCTAACGAGGCCCTGTAGTGGAAATGCGCCATAAGAGGGTGTTTGTAGGGGTAGCATTCAACCTTGTATTATTTCCTGTAATGTAAAGGATTCAAACTGTTCTCCTTTACCTCAAACAGAACATGGGTTTACAATTCAAGTTGAAATAAAGAACATGCATCTAAAAAGCAGAGTTGTATTCATCAATCCCCAGATGACGGTGTTGAAGCCAATCACACATTTTAAAGTTTCAAAGGGCGCGGCCGGATCAAACTAAAGTATACCTTGCTTCGACTTCATTTGACTTCCCGATTAGACAACGTTAGTTTTACTTTGGGAAACTACAGGCAAGATCTTCAGAATTGGTTTGCCACCCGCTGTGTTACTCTCGTGTCTGCAGCACGTCTTGTCAAATTCTCTGGCCGTAGCACCAAGTAAACCGTCAGTGTTTGCCATCAAGCTCCTGCTCTCCCGTGTCTCTCCGAGTCTCCATTGCTTCAGAAGAGGAAGATATGATGTGTGATGGTTTGAACTCACCTCCCAGTACTTGGACTTGTGCACCCCCTCGGAGTAGGCGCGGGCGAAGCTGCTCTCGCTGTTCAGAGCCGTGATGGCTGCGCTGAACTGGGACATGGGGTGCAGGTTGGTGGGGAAGTTATCCAGCATGGTGACCACGTGGGAGGGGAGGGCCGCTCTCTTAGCCCACTCTTTGGAGACCCAGCTCACCTGAGGGACAGAACACACACACACACACACACCGTTAGAGGGGAACACACACAGTTGGAGGGGAACACACACAGTTAGAGGGGAACACACACAGTTAGAGGGGAACACACACAGTTGGAGGGGAACACACACCGTTGGAGAGGAACACACACAGTTGGAGAGGAACACACCGTTAGAGGGGAACACACCGTTAGAGGGGAACACACCGTTAGAGGGGAACACACCGTTAGAGGGGAACACACCGTTAGAGGGGAACACACCGTTAGAGGGGAACACACACAGTTGGAGAGGAACACACACCGTTGGAGAGGAACACACACAGTTAGAGGGGAACACACACCGTTAGAGGGGAACACACACAGTTGGAGGGGAACACACACCGTTGGAGAGGAACACACACCGTTGGAGAGGAACACACACAGTTAGAGGGGAACACACACCGTTGGAGGGGAACACACACAGTTGGAGGGGAACACACACCGTTGGAGAGGAACACACCGTTAGAGGGGAACACACCGTTAGAGGGGAACACACCGTTAGAGGGGAACACACCGTTAGAGGGGAACACACCGTTAGAGGGGAACACACCGTTAGAGGGGAACACACACAGTTGGAGGGGAACACACAGTTAGAGGGGAACACACAGTTAGAGGGGAACACACACAGTTGGAGGGGAACACACACAGTTGGAGGGGAACACACCGTTAGAGGGGAACACACCGTTAGAGGGGAACACACCGTTAGAGGGGAACACACACAGTTGGAGGGGAACACACAGTTAGAGGGGAACACACAGTTAGAGGGGAACACACACAGTTGGAGGGGAACACACACAGTTGGAGGGGAACACACACAGTTAGAGGGGAACACACACAGTTGGAGGGGAACACACACAGTTGGAGGGGAACACACACCGTTAGAGGGGAACACACACCGTTAGAGGGGAACACACAGTTGGAGGGGAACACACAGTTAGAGGGGAACACACAGTTAGAGGGGAACACACACAGTTGGAGGGGAACACACACAGTTGGAGGGGAACACACACAGTTAGAGGGGAACACACACAGTTGGAGGGGAACACACACAGTTGGAGGGGAACACACACCGTTAGAGGGGAACACACACCGTTAGAGGGGAACACACACAGTTAGAGGGGAACACACACAGTTAGAGGGGAACACACACCGTTGGAGGGGAACACACACAGTTGGAGGGGAACACACACCGTTAGAGGGGAACACACACAGTTAGAGGGGAACACACACAGTTAGAGGGGAACACACACAGTTAGAGGGGAACACACACAGTTGGAGGGGAACACACACCGTTGGAGGGGAACACACACAGTTAGAGGGGAACACACACCGTTGGAGGGGAACACACACAGTTAGAGGGGAACACACACCGTTGGAGGGGAACACACACCGTTGGAGGGGAACACACACCGTTGGAGGGGAACACACACAGTTAGAGGGGAACACACACCGTTGGAGGGGAACACACAGTTAGAGGGGAACACACAGTTAGAGGGGAACACACACCGTTAGAGGGGAACACACACAGTTAGAGGGGAACACACACCGTTAGACTGGAACTGAAATATCCTGCTCTTACTACATCATGTAGTTTCATCCCAGAGCCCAACACACACCTGAACTAAGAACATCCATAACATTCACCTGTTCATGCAACTTACACATTATGTATCACTTGTATTTAGACTCTTATGGCACTACTTCTATTTGATTGTATTTACTTGCACTCTTGTTGGAGGAGCCTGTGACCTCAGATTGTCTTAACTACACTGTAGCTATGTACATCCTGCTCTGACTGCATCAAGCACATAGTTTCCTTTGTTTTATTTGCAACATTTTATTGTAATTTCCTTCCCGTTTCTTTATGTCTTAATTAAAATATGTGTTGGAGGAGGAGCCTGGGACTTCAGATCTTCATTTGTAAAAACATTTATTATAGTCAAAGTACGTCTTTAATTTCCATGAAGAAAATAACTTGACTACAATATTATTTAAGATAAAACAATTATTTTATTATATTTTATTATATTTATTGTTAATTGTTTTTGTTCCCTATATACTGTGACCATGACCGAATGGGGTAAGGTATTTTTCTTTCCTTAAAAACAGACAAATATCTTTGTACAACATTCAATGAGTTGAAGATGTCATGTCTGCAAAAAAAACAAAAACATAAAAGACCTTTATGTTATTAGTAAATGTTCCATGTGTATATATATATATATATATATATATATATATATATATCAGACTTCAAAATGTCCTCAGTATTAATTTAATGCTGGAGATTCTTCTGAATACTAAAATAAACCTGAAAAGGAGCAGAATAGCAGTCGAAGAAGCCTTCCGAGTAAATCGCCAGAACGCTGACACCTCCTCATCTCCACCGCTCCAATGTTATTGTTTGTGTTGCCATAAGTTATTTTCTCTCCGTTGGTGCGCGGGGCTAATGCTAATAATGCTAATGCGAGCAAATACAATGGCGGCTTCACAAAACGTTTCAGAGTTTTACGGGGCGTGGTTTGCAATTCGCCCAGCCAATATAAATTGGAACTTTTTTCTCCCCAGGATAGTCCCACCTCTCCAGCAGGCAAACGTTTTCTGAACTAAGTTCTCTTTTTGGTGTGAACGCAACATTTCAGGCACTAACGGAACCAAACCGGAAAGTACGGGGAAAAGTACTACGGTGTCTCTAAGTGAAGCATCCGAGTACTTTTCTCCGACAAATGCAGATGTTTTGGTTGTACATTTACAACAACAACACTGAGCTGTTCATTTTAAAGTGGAAATAGTTTGTTAAGAAGAACCTTTTAAAGTCAATATCAGATGCAATAAAGTTCAGAATATGGATATAAGAGGTGAGGCAATACTGAAATATGTAGCCGTCAGATAAAAGTGTTATCAGTGCGATTATCCTCTTCAAGGCGAACGGTGGCAGAGGTATTTAGAAAAAGACAGACTGAGATTTCTTCCCTGGTTATAAAACAATCTGGAGTTTATCGGAGGCTGTGACCTGGAGATAACACATAATAAAATGCGTTCAAAACGAGGTCAGGCTCGGAGCAGCTTTACAGAATTAGGTCACAAAGAAAATGGTTTTATTGGCCGGACTTTTACCTCAGAAGAATAAAGATAAACGGCTGAGCGAAAACATGACGACACGAGTCTCTCACGACTACTGTTATAGATACAAGCTTTCAATGAGGGGCAATGTCTCGGGCTGCCCTCGACTGAAGTGTTTCCTACTCGGCCATTAGTCATCAATTAGTCGACTAATCGGCGCACGTTTATGATACATTGCAGTTATAAATATATATTTTTTATTTCCCAAAATGGTTTCAGTTTCAAAGGCTGATAAAGAGCGTTACTATAACAGCGTGGTACGTTGTGCTTCACATAAGATAATGAACCTTTGGAATATAAATTAAATGCATGAGTCACAGCGGTGTGAACAGCAGATGCTCCGGTAAGGATTCTTATTGTGTGTGTGTGTGTGTGTGACATTAACAGTTATAATTACCCACGAAGACAAGCTGTTACACACGACATGCATCCTGATCAGAGCCACGAAGAAACAGCATATCTATCTATCCATCTATCTATCTCTCCATCCATCTATCTATCCATCTATCTATCTATCCATCCATCTATCTATCTATCTATCTCTCCATCTATCCATCCATCTATCTATCCATCCATCTATCTATCTATCTCTCCATCTATCTATCCATCTATCTATCTCTCCATCCATCCGTCTATCTCTCCATCTATCTATCCATCTATCTCTCTCTCCATCCATCCATCTATCTATCTCTCCATCTATCTATCTATCTATCTCTCCATCCATCCAACTATCCATCTATCTCTCCATCTCTCCATCCATCTATCTATCTATCCATCTATCAGGGATGGGAACGATTAAACATTTCTTGTTTTTGGGAGGGGTTCCTAAGTTGATTACATATGATCAAATGGAATAATTCAATGTATACGACAGAGCCATAGCTAAGTGTGTCAGGTCTAAAGGTGTGTGTTGCTCCGCACACCGGTCCCTCTCAGCGGGCAGAGCTGCAGGTGCTGATCTCTCTCTCTCGCGTCCGGTTATACTTCACTCGCGTTTATGTCCAAATCCATCAGATCTAGCTAGTTCTAGCCAATGATACGGCTGCTGCCCCTCCCTACACGCAGATCACGCAGACTCAAACCTCATCTTATGCCCACATTCCAGCTGAGAGGGTCTTCTCTACAGATGGCCTGATTGTGACCCGCCTCTCCCCTGAGTAGACATGCTCATATTCTTAAAGAACAATGAGTATTGAATAGCTGCATTCTGTGCACAGGCCCTGCTATAGGTTGATCTCTGTTGTCACGGGTTACGTTGCCCTAACCCGTTATGTTGTTCGTGTTTGATCCCTCTTTCATTTAAGCATGAAAGCTGTAGCCTATAGCTGTCAACTGTTCACACTCTGATCACCAGTTCAATACATTTGACAAATTCGACTTGGTTTCCTAAACTTATTTGAACAAGTATTTATTAGTTTTTCAAAATTAAATTTCTTTCCAAAATCTTTTTCCGCATTTTTTTATAGGATATGTACATTTCAGTTAACCGTTTTTTTTGGGGGTTGAATATTCGAATATACATTTGCTTTCAAATCCCCATCCCTACTATCTATCCATCCATCTATCTATCTATCCATCATCCATCCATCCATCCATCCATCCATCACATATGATTAAGTTCCTCTTCATCTTCATCATCCCTCATTCTGCAGGAAAATGTAATTTAGGAAACGAGACGAAGTGGAGATACGATCTGACGAGCCCCGACAGATGGATGCAGATAATGAACAGCTGTGAACTCGTTACCCTTCATCTCCCCCTCCTCTCATTAAACCTCCACAGTAAAATGCTCGTCTCACCTGCTCCTCGGTGGGCACCTGTCCTGTGATCAGCAGCCAGAAAAGACCCTCGGGCAGCGGCTCCTGTCCTCCTGGGAGCTTTGGGCAGCAGACCCTGACATTCTGGGATGCTGTAGCCACGGAAACGGATACCCTGCGTTTCCATGGAGACAGAAATGTATTGTTATCGTGCACTTTTAATGCAGCTTATATTCTTTTATTTCTTACATGCTAGTTTTTTATCTTGTTTGCTTGTATAGTTGGTGTGGATAGCTGAAACTATACATGACAATAAAAACATCTTAATGCTTTCATATCATCCCGGATGGATTATTGTAACTCCATTCTCACTCGTTTTAGCAAGTCACCTCTGACCCGTCTACAAATGATCCACTAGGTCCAGCAGGAGGACTCACATCACACCCATCTTAAGATCTTTACATTGGCTTCCCATCCGGTGAAGAACTCATGTTAAGGTTCTCGTTATCACGTATAGAGCCCTGCATGGACAAGAGTACTTAAGTGACCTTCTCCATCCCTTTATCACCAGTAGGTCACTCAGCTCTTCTACTGGCTGTCCCTCGCTCTCAAACTAAAAAGGTGACCGTGCTTTTTGAAGTAGTGGCTAGTGATTGTGGATGATTTGATTTCTGTTGGCTCACAGGATGAGTTACGAGATGCTGCTCTGCATCTGAAGGCTCTCAGAGGAATCAGGGTAAGTGCCTCAGAGTGAGTTTCACTTATTAAAGCAGCTTGGAGACAAACTGACCTCATCAGGATCCAGAACAGAGGTCTCGTACACCAGACCCTTCATCCCCCGCATGCCTCCGTACACCTGGGGACACAGCAGAGGACAGAGACATTAGGACATGGAGGAGACATTAGGACAACAGAAATAACCCATAGCACGTGTTAAACATTGCAGGAAGAGGCAGGACAAAAAGTAAGATTACTGACTTGTAATTTAAAATGTATTTAATTCTGCTTTTTTCCCCTCAAAGATTAAACAGTATATATTTTCTGAAAAATAATGTTTCTTTTCTGGAAATAAAAGTATATATATATTACAGGTATATAAAAAATATTTAAAGAAAAGTTTTTCTGAGAAATAACAGAATAGTTTTTCTCAGAAAGATATTTTAAAAAAAAGTTTTTCTGATAAAATAATATGTATTTTCTGTTTCTGTATGTAATATGTATAAAATAATATGTATTTTCTGGAAATAAAAGTAAAATATCTAATAAAAAAAGATTTAAAAAAGATTTTCTGAGAAATAACAAAAATATTTTGGGGGTAAAAACATTTTTTTTGGTATTTCTTTCCTAAAAATCTCAAAATAATGACTTTTTTTCAAAGAACAAAAAAAAAAACTCAATCTCAAATGTTTTCCCATGTGGCCGTAATTCTCTCCCGTCTATCTCCAATCTAGTCTGATCTAATACACAGAAGTTAGTACTCTTTGAAAGGCTGCATTAGTATATATGTTATCACGCTGTAGTGTCCTTAAAGGGTCTGAAAAATGTGGTTTATGGATATTATATTCTTTCTGGAACAACTCAGCAACCGACACAAGACGTTATCGTGACCGGCCTGTAATCCACACTGAAACACATTACGAAGTGGATATGGTGAGTACGTTAGCTGGGTAGATGTTCAAATGTGAGCGTCTGCTTCAGCTTTTATGAGGTGTTTTGAAATGTAACGGATATATCGGCGTCTGCTAACCGTGTCGACGGTTCAGGAGGCGTTTAGTGTCTCCTCTGATATAGAAACAATAAATAAAGTTTGAGGTTAATAATCGGAGTTTCCCCGCACGCTGTTCGGCTGCCGCTAACGTTAGCTCAGATCCAGGTACCATGACTAAACACCTTTCATCCGGTTAAAAGGTAGAGTTAAAAAGCACCAAGACGTGGCTTAAAACTGGGTCAGGAGTACGTTTATGACCACTTCTGTCAGCTAGCGTATGCTCACAGGAGACACAGGATTCAAGTTCATTACAATTACGCATTTCTCTGAAACTACTCGACTGATATTGCATATTTAAAATGATGTGTACCAGACAAAGATATTGAACCGTGGCGTTCGTCACTCACCATGTCGACGTTGATCTGGCCTATGTTGGTTTTGCCGTACTGCTGTTTGAAGCTCTTGATGCGGGTCTGTTCTTTGGGGATGAGGTCGGCCAGGATATCCTTCAGATTCTGCAAAAAACACAACTTCATTTAACATCTAGTCCTCAAAATATAAAAACCACACACTGCTCTAATGTGAACCGGGGATAATCAAACAGACTTTATGTCAACAATGAAGGGAGAGAGATCGACCTGTGGCTCGGCAAAGGTCAGCTATTAATACAACAGAGGAGGAACCAGTGGCGTTTACACGTGTTCCATTAAACGCATATATTCTTAGTTGAGTTTGGGGCATACATAGACAGTCAAGGAAATGTAATTGCAAGAAAAGGACAACAAAATAGAACTATTATAGGAGTATTTCAACAACATTTAAATCTACAAAAAGCTAAGTACAAGATTGTGCATATTGGAATTTAAGTCAAGAAGTGTGCAGACGAGAGGGAAGCTTCGAACAGAAAGACAGACTTATGTGCGGGCTTCACAATATTAGTATATATACATTTTATATATATTTGTTATACAATGTCCCCACGATAAGCCCACATGACATGCTTTAGTGTCATGTATAGTGTCTATGAAGGGGTTAGAGTCGTTCAGTGTCCTTAGAATGATAATGACATGAATATAGGAGGCAGTGCACTTACTGTTGTTGAAGCGCTGGCATTCCTGGCAGCCTGAAGGAACGCAGCATTCTGGGAAAACACAAGAAATACGATTTTGAGTGAGAAGCAGAAACCCCAAAACACTTCATGAACTGTGCAAAAAGCCGATATTTCATATGAGCAAAAAATGTAAATCCAACTCGTTATTTAATGCTTATGTTATCTATTAAATATCGTTTACCACTTTGCACGATCCTGTCTGGTACTAAGCGAAGTATGATCTTACTTTAAGTAAAAATGTACCCATAAAGCAACACTTCTAGGTTACTGAAGCTCCTTACATATGAACCAAGACAACCTTAACATAATTGAACAAACTGCATCTAATTGTTGTTGTTAGTAAGTCCTCTAGTTCCAACAGCTATTACCTGAGTGAAGACAGACTTTCAAACTAATATGTTGAAGTAGTAGAAGAGCACTCAGACATCTTCACACCAAAACATTTTCTAGTTATTCAAAATTCAAAATGACAGGTTCTTTCTGACCATTAAACAGAGATGTGACACGGGCTGGGCAATATACCGATGATATCGATATGACGATGGGAGACTCGATCTTATCTCATAAGAGGCAGCATTACGGTGAAGTAGGGCTGTCCCGAATACCATTTTTCGGGCTCCGGATATTCGGCAGCGAATATTCGTTCCGCAGTAATCAGCAGCGAACCGCTTCGACACGTGTATTTCGGTTTATTCTCGGCATTCATTTTGTTATTCTACAGTATTGTTGTTTTATAGTTATTTGTTAATGTAACCCAATTTGTGTTCTTTGAAATTGAAAAGGATATCGCATTGTGTCTGTTACTTTTGTTGCAGTTGTATATGTCTTAAGTGTAATTTGGCTTGGTTTTCTATTTATGGACATGCTTTTATTTTGAAGGAGAGTTAGCGCAGTTGACAGGAAGTTGTTGTTGCTATGGAAACAACGTGACGGGATTAATGGAGAAAAAAGTAATATCTACATATAAAGACGGAGAAAGTAAACGATAACGTCTCTGGTTAAGTGTTAGCACCCCCCGAAGAGGCACAAGCTCTTACGCTGATATTGGAGATTTCAATAAAAAATAACGGAAAAAATATATAACGAATAACGAAATTGAAACCCGAATAGTACTCCAACGAACGAATATTTGGGTACAGCCCTACAGTGAAGTGATGTCAATATTATTCAACATAACAGACCGTTAGAGTTCTTGTATCGTTTGTTTTACCCACATAAATGTTAGTGTTAATATTTTTGTAAAACACCAAAAGTCCATCGTACAATATTGAGGTTTTTGTTAGGAAACAATTCAGATTTCTCCCCATACTGTTCCCCCTGCACTTCAGCACAGACGAGGCGTTACAACTAGAAATTAATCAAGCGTCTAAATAATGAATCCTTTATTGACAAGCACTTCATTTCTCCTCTCTGAAAGGCCTCTGGGCTCCAGCTCTTAGAGCATCAACTGAGATTAATTAATTAGCAGAGATGAGGCGGCTATAATAGGTTGAAGATAATGAGGAAGACTCTGACGTTCTTCACGGAGGTCAACTGGGGGTGTCTGGTTTTGCCGGTTTAGTCTCAGTACGAGCTAAAAACCTGTTTGTATACAACGAAGCAGCCGTCACACTGACATGTTCCTGATCATTTAAAAGAAGCAAACATCTATAAACTGTTGGCCGCTGGCGTCTCGGTGTTAAAATCACACAACAAATGTTTGACCTCGTTTAACCTGATTCCTGCAGGTGTTGTACCGTAGACCTCAATGATGCGTTTCTGAATCAATAATGTAAACAAAGATAATCGTTATAGGGTCATTTGTGCACGGCTAAGATAAGACTGGGAATAATCAGGTGGCTTTAGATGTCTGTGAACACCTTGGTGATGATTGCTCAGCGTTTATGATCGGCTGTTTGGACGTTTGCCAAGATAAGCGATGTAAAGGAAATGACAAACATCCCTCATTAACAGAGAGAACAAACATTGCTCTGGGATTCCTTCAGTGTCGATGCTTCAGGAGGTTTTAAGAATCTCTTCTGATATAACGCTAGCTCAGCTTGTTTCTCTGATAACTTCAGATTCCCTTCATCTGGTTAAAACAAAGCTAAACAGCACCAAGAAGTGGTTTAAACCTGGATCAAAAGTTAGCTTCTGGCAGCTAACGTATGCTCCCAGGGGATTCAACTGCACCACAGGAGACAGAGGATTACAGTTCATTCAAATCTCTGAAACGACACTAAATATTGAACATAGAGCTATGGGTTTGTTACACACTTTAAAGCGTAAACGTTACGAGGGCTGCAATAATTGTTATGACTGTTGCTATTTGACTAAGGATATTGCAGGGATTGTTTTGGGGATCATTATCATTGAATGGAGATATTTAAAATGATCACAGTGAGTTTTACCAGATCAAATATATTTTATCGCCCTGATTTGTTGCTACAGGACGTACGGATTAAAGAAGTACCTGCTGTGGTTATGAAAGTGTTTGGAGGAGAGTAATCTTGTTAAAGCTCAGCGTTACTGAAACAGGACTCTTGTTAGATTATCACATTTATCAATGATGGGGGAGGGAGGGAGGAGTCAAGGAGACAGCTGGCTTTCCTCCCAATGGGATCGCCCCCCTCCCCTCCACACACAACTGGTGCTCGGATAAAAGCAGACAAAGCTGGTAGAAAAACAAAAGGTGGGGTCTTGCGTCACACACACGCAGTCTCACACACACACGCAGCTGAGAGACAGGTTATGTAACAGCTCAGGGTCTTAAATATAGAGCGTTCCACCCAGACATTCCCTGCCAGAGGGAAAGGTTAAACCCTACTCTGCAACCAAGAGTCAAAGCAGGAGGGGAGGAAACACGTGAAGACCAGGGTTTCCGTTAGCCGGTAATTACCGGTTTTTAGCTGGTGAAATGTATTAAAAACCGGTAAATTCAAAACCTGCCGGTCAAAATGTCTGGTAATAATTAGGGAGGCTCCGATAGATCGGCCACCGGTCATTATCGGCCGATATTCACTGTTAATAGTTTGATCGGTGCTCTATATAAAGGCCGATCAGGAGAGCTGGATCTGATCGATATGGACATAAACGCGAGGGAAGTATAACCGGACGAGAGAGAGATCAGATCAGCTGCTGAGTCTGACGCAGCTCTGCATAATCACCTGAAGCCCCGCCCTCTGTTTAGCGAGCTGCATGAGAAACTGACGGGCTGTCAGGAGAGAGAGAGGGAGGGAGAGGGAGAGAGAGGGAGGGAGAGAGAGAGAGAGAGAGAGAGAGAGGGAGAGAGAGAGAGAGGGGAAAAGAGAGGCTCCGTTTCTCCCGTGTTATTATTCAAAGTTAATATAAACTTTTGAATAATGTACTTTATCTACTACAAGTAGTTTGTTTGAATGTAATAATTATGTTGTTGGTGGAATCATTTATTGAAAATGAATCTGAATTTTTTTCGATCTGTTACGATTATAAACTGAAGCAATATAAAAACGAGCCCCGTGAACTGAGTTTTAAACTGAAGCATATCTGCTCATAGTCTGGTAATTACCTGCTAACAGAAACTCTGCTACAAAACTCTTTATTATTATTATTGAAATATCACCGGTAAGTTTCAAATGTATCCGGTCAAATAAATTCTGCCCGGACATTTGACCGGCGAGAAAAAATCCTAGCGGAAACCCTGGACTGAAGATGTGTGTGTACAAGTATATAAAACATATCTAAGGTAACTACAACTAAATGTGAAAGCTGGAGAAGTCAAGTGTCTTTAAAAAGCTGTATTTAAAAGAAACTGCATTTAGTGTTAGAATAGTAATAAAATGCAATCACCACAACCATAGATACTGTATGAGGCGCATGTTGAAGTATTCCACTGTTTTCTTTTCTGCACTTTAAGAAATACAAGTTAGGGCATTTCATTTTTAACCCGTTCCTCTAAAAGAAGATTTCAATTACTTGAAATTCCTAGTTTTTTCTAAATGATTGAAAGACCTGAGGAGCTGAAACTAAACCATTATCTAATCTATTTATCTGCTTCATTGTTGGCTCTTTAAAATGTAAGAAAATTGTTTAAAAGACGTCCTTTTATGTGTTAAATGTTCATGCATTTAGAAACATAATCATACTTTGTTAGCCCCCTTGATTGTGATAAATGAGGCAGATCAAAATGCTTTTAATTGGGGGTAAAAATGTCGCCCTTTGCCCTACTTACTGTCCTTGCTCTCAACTCATGCATCACATGCTTTTCAGTCATAGTTCAGGGACAGAGCATGATATGGAAAACGAAAAGCTCCATAATAAAACTCCTGTTCGAAGATTACAGCTCATAAGAGAGAAAGGGTGAGTGCACAGGGGTTTATCGACATCTTCCTAATTACAAGACAGATAACAGGGACACCGGGTTAAACGAGGGGAACCGTTAGTCGCTGATTTCTTGTTTTAAACGTAGGGAAAGTTACTAGAAATCCTTCTTAGTGGGTGTCAGGAGATGATATGAGGGTCTTCCAGGGTCAGAGGTCGCAGGAGTAATACAGTAGATTACAGTCACTGAAGGTCACAGTCAGCATGGAAGGAAATATACTTCATCATTCGCTGTTAATGTTTCAGTAAGAGAATCTAAGTAGTTGTGCAACTGTTAATAATTATCCTTAATGATCCAATGTGCAGATTAATCGTTTGACCTATCAAATATCATAAAATTATGAAAAAAGTCCAAGCTGATGCCTTTTAATGTCCACATGTATTCACTTTAAAACGATAAAGCAGGACATCTCCATATTTGAGGCTCATTTCTTTCAGTAATGCATCTACTAAGAGGTGCAGCTCTAATACTAAGCCTTCAGGTGGTGTAATCAAGCCTCACTAACAAAACCCTCATCAAACAGATTCAAATCACTCCTGGCTTTCAGTCTGCTTGGGGTTTAGACTATAAATGATCACTTTTAAGGCGGGTAAGAACATACACGTGACCTCCTGAGAGCCTGATATCACCCAGTGTGTCTTTGCTGTCCATTACTCGGTCAAACCTTAAAACTAAAAAGGTGACCTTTCCTGTTTGGTTGCTGAATGACTTGCTGGAGCAGAAACACCGTGTCCTTTATGCCCTTTCTAAAATGTCAGACTTGCATTTTCTCTGCTGTTTATCACCTGTGTTGCATGCATCGTAATATTACCTTACCTGTCATGGTTATTTTATGCATTTAAATCACATTGCATCTTCTTTTGTAAGCATTTAAAGTCAGCATTCATTCTCAGATATCCACTTTTTTTATCACATGCTAAAACGTGGAAACATGCTAGCTGATATTGCACAATAAAACTGATGTTTGTTGAATTATTCCACACTAAAACACTTGTTTCAACCGTACTATATAACTGTTATATATATGTTCAGACACAATATATTTCTAAGGTTAGATATTTGGCAGAAATCCTAACCTGAAGGTCAACAGTGTTTCCTGAATAAACACAAAGTCTGAGCTGACTTTAGAAGCACTCAGTGTCTGTTAATGATTCATGCTTGTTATATTTAAGGTTTACCAGAGAACAGAGAAAGTTAACGACACAGAAACACAGAAACTCAGAAACACGTTCAGGCAGGACCACCAGGCCAGCTAATGCTAACAGTGGCTAACAAGACACAACTTCACACACTCACATTATATCGTAATATCACCCCTATATAAAAAAGGAATTAAGACTACTATTGTGATGTTTTAGAAAGTATTAACCACACCCTGCGTTAACAGGATTTCACAATGTGGTTGACAGTGCTAAGCTAACTAGGCTAAGCTAACTAGCGTCGTTAGCTCAACAACTTTGACGTCTAAAATCTCAGCCGTTTGGATTCTACTCACCTTTGAGTTGAGGAGTTTAGGCGCTAACCTGCTGACAGTGAGGAAAGACATGGTGTCTGTGAACAGGTGTGGTATTTCCACGTATTCTTGAGTAACGAAATGAAGCCGCTGCCGGTGCGGAGCTTGTTGAAGGTGCCCCTCCAGAAACAGAAGGTTGAAGAAGAGAGATTCTGGCCCGCAGGAAGCAGCGACTTTGATTGGTCGACGGGCGTTACGCACAACCGCTTAGAGGGATTCGATTGGTTGGAGGGATGCTAGGTGAGCGTTGATTGGATGGAGGATCTGTCTTTTGTGTCTGTGACGACAGCTGGAGATCAGGGTCTGTTCAAGAGCAAGCTTAAAATACCTGGTTGTAGCTCCTTTTTTGTCAAAATCCAAAATTGTACTATTTTAAACTTTGCCATTTGTGACCCCACGCACTGAAACTATCGTCCTTCTGTTGTGGAAATGCCTTACTTTCCTCCTCCGACATTAATTAACTGATTGTTGGTTTTGGGAAAAGTAGTTAAAAATGCAGAAAAAAAGGAGCAGAGGTGTAAAGTAACTAAGTAGGCTACATTTACTCAAGTACTTGTACTTTACCTGACTATTTCCATGTTATGCTACTTTGTACTTCTACTCCACTACAGTTCAGAGGTAAATGGTGTACTTTTACTCCACTACATGTATTTAATACCTTTAGTTACTTTACAATCACTACTTTCACTGTCGCTACTTTAACTATATTTTGATTATAATACTTTTCAACTGTTACTTGAGGAACATTTTGAATGCAGGACTTTTACTGTAACAGAGTATTCCTACACTCTGGTACTTCTACTTTTACTCAAGTACAAGATCTGAGTTATTCTACTTTTACTACAAGATCTGAGTACTTCTACTTTTACTACAAGATCTGAGTACTTATACTTTTACTTGAACATTTTGAATGCAGGACTTTTACTTTTGTGAGTTCTGCAAAACAGATATCAGGAAAACATGAACACATTGATCAAACGTCATATTCCTGGAGTTTCTGTTTGTGATCAAAGACAGAAATATAAAAAACCTGTGCATAAAATAATATATAATGAAAAAGCTAAATATTGCATTTATTTCTTCAAACATCTTTAGCAGTTTAAAAAAAATAATCATACCTTCTTAATTTTTTTTGTGCTAATTCATAAAGTGGAAACACGTCATTAAGGCATTCCGACCCTAAGTCAGTACAACTCAAATAAACACGAGACAATTATAAATAAAAAACAAGTCTCTACTTTTGAAGAAGAGTAGTATTATTTCACGGAGCCTTTTCACATTGATTATTTTGTGCAAGATTCATAAAACATGTAATCTAAATCTGTAAAGAAAGCAGGTTTTTATTGTTGGGTTTCAGGTAAGATTTGCCCACCTGGGTTTGGGGACGTTCTGATTCTGCGGACCCTCTCTCCTCACACTATTCTAACTATTGTATCTGTGTTATTGTGTTGCTCTGTTGGAGGATCCTGAGACCTCAGATTCTCATTGATATATCTACACTGTAGCTATGTTCAAATGACAATAGAAGCCTTGAACCTTGCATCTCACCCCATGGCATTTCCCCTTGCACTGTGCCCCCTCTTGTGGCGGAAATTGGTATTACACGTGGGGATATTTTAACCCTTAAAGTGGACCTATCATGCTATATTTGAAAAATATATTGTAGGGCCATACCTATATAAAACATGTCTGTGAAGTTATTTTTTCAAAATACCAAACAGATCACCTATTGTAGCCATGCCTCATACTGCTCATACCTCTTTTGCAGCCCTGTTAGAGAAACACGAATGTTGGGTCCTTAGCTTGAAAAAAAAGAAAAAAGAGGAGGCGGAGCTAATGCCTGATCAGAATTCTACCGGAGATAAAGTAAAATTCTGCTGTGATAAAACGCCATCCTGTTTAAACCACATCAAGGATTATTTCTGAAACAGTATGGAGCTCAAATGCTTTTTCTCTTGCGGGTTTATCACAAGGTGAGTTCCTTTTTTTATCTCCTGCTTTTTAAACACATGTGCTCTCCAGTACAGGTTAGCTCTGAGTGTTAGCGAGGCTTGCTAATGTAAACAAAGACGAGATTACGTCCAAAACACGTCAGGCATTGTTTCTATGGGTCCGCTGCCGATTTGACGTCACAGCGGATGGAAATCTGGATCAGCGCTGTTGTAGCCCCGTTTTTAGAGATTTTGGTACGGAGGAAAAGAGAGAGAGTTGTATTTTCTGACGCTGCGTGAGTTCCCCGACGCACCGGGGACACATTTATGTATAAAATACTAATAAAGTGCATTTTGCATGATAGGTCCCCTTTAATTCATAATGAAACAAACTAGACTTGATAGCAACATGCTAACTGGAAGAGCAGCAGGGCACTATAGCAATGCTAACAGCTACATTATCACTGGGCAATTAAACACCAGTGGTTTGAATATAAAGCCAAAACAGTATTCCTAATATCAATCAAACATCATGAAGATATTACTTAATGCTTAAGACCAACAACATTTAAACAATCCAGCTGGACCATTTTATCCCTGATATTGTTCATTATTCTGTATACCAAATACAACCTGTATTCATTTCACTTAGCTGTTGTGAAAATCACCTGAACAAGCAAACATGGCGGATCAGCTGCAGGTGGAAGAATCGGGAAAATACGTTACGTGATGACGTCAGATGCACGATACTAAGGGAAACCACATCGATGCACTTTCACTGATACAAGGAGTCAACAAACTATAGATACAATCCACAACATTACACCAAAGCAGAAAACTGAATCACAAATATCAAATAGACTTTTAGATTGTATTACTTTAGTTTATTGTTGTATTGGAAATGGATTTAGTGGAGTATAAATACCAACAAACAAAAGTACACTTACCTCATAATGTACTCAGGTATTTGAGTAAAAATACTGAGTGACATTACGCCACTGAAACGTCATCACGTTGATCCAGCCTGAGCACGGGGCAGCTGACAGGAGGATGGGGTGCAGAGATATCTGATAATAAGAAAATAAACAAGAACACGAGAGGCTGGTTTGCTCGTTCTTTTAATCCGTCTTCATGGCTCTAACAGCGGACTCCCTCTGCCCGCTGATGCCACTCTGAGTCTTAACTCTCCCATACACACCCAAACACTCCAGAGACATGTTCTGTGTATATCTGGATCTATAATATATTGATGAGAAACAGTATAATAGGGGACCTTTAAGTGAGGTTTTGAATGCAGGATGTTTACTGGGTGATTTTCACACTGTGGTTTTAATATGTTTATTTCAATAACTTTGTTGATCTTGTTTTTAGCTCTATTGCTATCTCACTGAACATAGTCCCTGTATGTGAACTGGTTCAGCTGATAAGGATGGTTATGAATCAAGAGGAGCTGCAGACAGGAAGGGGAGTTGAAAGTGAAAGTATAAAGTCAGACTTGTCAGAGTGCCAGACGCCATTTTACAGCTCGTCGGAGCAGGAGGACAACAGGGTGAGTGTTAACACCAGGATCTGCTTTCTAACACATTATTTACTCTGTTTTACTGGATGTCAGAACATCAGCGTCCTAGAGTCCAAAGAGACTTCTACAAGTGGTGTGAACTGGTTTCATTTCCTGTTTTCTGACTCATCAAAGCAACATAACATGCGACAGCCCAGCGCAGTCAAAATGGGGAACTGCCTGTCGGAAGTCTGACTGATTTGATGTTCTTTAACCAAGTGTTAAACTTTCCTGTCGGCTCCCAGACCGTAGTGGAGGACGCAGGGGTGACTCTCTGCAGTCTTCCAGGGCCGAAGCAACACACTTCGGGTTCAATAACCCACTTTTCAATAAGGCTGAGAGGCGAGCTCTTCTTTGGGAGGCCGTTGCATTTATTAAGGTCTTTGTTACAGATCTAACTTTGAAGACACTCGACAGACCTTTGCTGCTGTTTCGTTCACTTCAATAACACACAGCACTGCTGCTCCGCTCGCTCTACCATGCACCCACACATGCACGCGCCTCTCTCTCTCTCTCTTTCCCTTAAAGGGATAGCTGTCTGACTCTGCATCAGGGCTGCCCCTGGCCAACGTGTGGTCCCATGCAAAGTTATGTGATGAGGGGGCTCTCTGTGCAGGGGCGCCGTAAGGGGGTGAAAAGTTAGGACAATTCTAAGGGCCTGTGACTGACAGGGGCCCAAACTATTTTAGAACATTAAGAAAAGAATGTCTAAGTAACCTTTCATCATTCATCAATAATTAACATTAGAACATATATTGATAATATACTCACTAAGCTTACGATTCATTTAACTTATTTTCTTCCAAAAGTTAATTATCCAAAGCCTCTGTACACCCCCTTCTAGTTACATGTAATGGTTTGGTCCTAGCTCCAAACGTGGTGCGGCACTGGCACTTTCTAGCAGAGAGTGAGAGCATGTGAGGAGGGATGCTAGTACTTACCTTTATAGTCTATAGGCGCGTTCACACCGCAGTACTTTTCCCACTTTAGTTCCGATATAGTTCCGAAATGTTGCGTTTACACCAAAAAGAGCCGGAACTAAAATTAGTTAATGAGAACCTTTTTACCCCCTTTTACCTTTTACCCCCTGCTAGAGAGCCGGTAATTTCATGGGAGAAAAGGTTCCTATGTCTGATTGGCTGGGCGGATTGCAAACCACGCCCCGTAAAACTCCCAAAAAGTTTTGTGAAGCCGCCATTTTATTATCCTCGCATTAGCATTATTAGCATTAGCCCAGCGCAGAAACGCAGAGAGACTAACTTATGGCAACACAAAAGAAAACATGGTGGAGATGAGGAGGTGTCGGCGTTCTGGCGATTTACTCTGAAGCCAGTCCCCAACTCCGGGGACTTCCGGCCGGGGACTCCGGGTGGCAGTATACGCCGTGAAGTGGTTTGCGGCCTGCCAGTAAACCCAAAGCAGAAGAAGAAGAAGTGACGTCAGCGGCTTTATTTGCCTAATCCTCCCTCTGGGATTTATTCTGGTGTGAACGCGATCTGTACTTAGTTCATGAGAACTAAAGAGTTTTCCTTGAACCTTTGTGGGAAAAGTACTGCGGTGTGAAAGCGCCTAATGGTACTTACGTGTGTACCATGTCTCAACGATTAACAAAGTCAGGCTTTAAAAAAAAGGAGAGAAAGAGAGAGGGACTAAAAGGTGACAGTCACCC